AAGGTAATATTTATTCATTTTAATTAAAATTTCGTTCCTTTGAAATACTGTAAAACTGTAAAATAGTGTTAACTCTGAAGAAGTCATTATAGACTTGAATAGTGTAGAAAGCCGCCTTTGAAATGTTGTAAAAATAATTACTCCTTCATAGGTATTTAAAAAGATTTTTTTAAAATTATAGTTTGTAGTTCAAAAAAATATATACATTGGTTATTGTAAGTTTTTCTATCTTTAAGTTAAAACAGCCCATTCGAAAATAATCAAATCATTCCCATTCGTCATTCGAAAAGTATAGAGAAATATATAGATATACCATATTTGAAAAAATTCGCTTACGTGCTTCGCAAGTTTTGAGAGATATAAGTATTGAAAATTGTGACCCTGTGATTTGGGGGAGGTACAAGGGTCGATATCTGCAATCTTCGTACTAGATCTTGTATTAGTAGAAATATTGAAACGTGTGAAATTTCAAGAAAATCAACGTAGGTACCAGAGGGAGTGGTCGGATCTTTTCGTTCTCCATGCCAGATCTTCGTTGGTAGAAATATTGAAATTTGAAGGTAATTGGACTCATATCTCAAATTTTATAAGGGTTATAATTATTCAAAATATTGACCTTTGTGCAGGAGGAGTGGTCCTACATTATCAATTTTCGAACCCTTATCTTGCACTGATAAAAATATTAGGATTTGCAAAGTTTTCACAAAGTTTCAAAAGTTTTGACCTCTTAGGGGGAGGTACCAGAAGTATAGATAGTTTTTAAATAAAGAAAAAAGTGATTCTTGGTGACTTCCTGTGGGACTCTAGAAGAAACTATAATACATACTCTTCCATATGGCTGGAGAGGGTATATATCACTTGATAGGCCAAAACGTGTCTCGTCGAAATAACGGACCAAATCCGTTTCAGGACATTCGGAGTCGATTTAGCGATGTCCGTCCGTCTACCTGGCTGGTGCGCACTATAACTCTTGAAGGGAGTATCCGATTTGGTCCAAACTTGGGACATCGTAATATTTTTATCAAACTTAGATCGAGTTCGGTGATGGGCAATATCGGTCCACTCCTTCTTGTACCTCCCCCACAAAAGGTCAAAATTTTCACCGAAAATTATTTTACTTAACGAACAAGAAGGAATCATACCACTTTGTGCAAACTTTGGAAATCCCAATATTCATATCAGTTTTAGGTTAGGTGGGAAAATGGAAAATATCAGTCCACTCCAACATGTACCTCCCACACAAAGGGTCAAAATTTAGAATAATTTTAACTCTTCACTACGATTTTCCCACGTCACAATATTTTTATTAGTCTAAGATCTGGGGTGAAGATGGAATATATCTGTCCACTCCTTCTGGTACCTCCCCCACAAATGATCAAATCTTTGAATAACGAAAACGCTTAAAAATGCGTAGTAAGCAGTAAGTAGTAAGCATCCGATTCCCTTTAAATTTCACACATCCCAATATTTCTATTAACACAAGATCTGGTGTGAAGATAATAGATATAGGCACACTCCTTTTGGTATCTTCCCCACAAAAGGTCACAAATTTCAATATTTATATCTCTTCTAATTCGCGAAACAGTTCAGCGATTCTTTTAAAACTTGGTAACCTGAGATCTGATGTGAATATAGAATTCATCGGCTTACTCCTTCTGGTACCTCCGCCAGAAAAGCTCTAAATTTTCACTAATGATTCGTAAAACTTGGAAATGAATGTCAGATGCTCATCCCAATATTTTTTTCAGTATTAGATGAAGTGGAATTCTTCGGTCCACTATAGTTGGCACCTCACGCACATTCTATAATTTTCTAAAAAATATAACATTACTCATGTAAAGATGAATGAAGTAGTCAATATAGCAAAAATCTGGCACATTTAGATGAGAATATAAACAACATTGGCCCACTCCTTTCTCCCATAAAGGGTCCAGAGTTTAACTAATCATAACGCAAGTCAAAATATATTCAAATAAACGAACACTGGCCGAGGGTATACATCAGTCGGCAAAACCGACGGATACTTTTTAACTTGTTTGTATTTCATTTTTAGATATGGACAAATCCAGTTGGAACTTCTGTTTGTAAATAAAGTAAAGTTTCAATCGTAATAAATTAGACTGCATCGGTTTGATTTCCTTAAAGGAATCCTCCATTGAATTGAAGGAGAACTGACACAGTGGTTAGAGTTTTAGTAATTAGCTTTTCGAAAAACTTTGGAATCACACTTAATTTTATTATTCCTCAGAAATCGACCAAATTAGGTTTATTTCCATTTTTGGAGAGTGGAATGATATACTATGTTTTCCAAACATCAGAAGCTTAAGTTATTGAAATTGAAAATAAAATTTCGTGTTTACAGAAACTTACTTGTCATAAGCAACAATTGATAAACTTATTTAGTCCAATTTCCACGCGTAAATTTTGCCGTCAAGAAAAGTACCTTTTTAGATGAGAGAGACATAGAAGACCAGATAAAACCTTACCTTTGGTGATTTGTTCTAAAAAGTATGAAATACTAAATAATTGGTCTGTTCCAGAACTACAAGAATGTAAAAGTTTTTTGCATGTTCCAAAACAAAACATTAACGAAAATGGTCCTGGTAATAGTACTAAAATTGCACTGTCAATTCTGAAATTTGGTTTATAGTTATGTCTGATGAAGTTTACTCGTTTTGTTAGTCTTACCTTTGGGTTACTAAAAAAAGGGTGTCGAAAGCACTAAGTGCTAAATAGTAGAATTAGAATCTTTAAACTTATTTGGTGTGAAAAGTCTCTGCCATGGGAAAGCGGTATCGGTAGACTCATTTGCTAATTTGAATATGGCATTGCCATTTTCTAAATAAAATTTATTTGCATATCTAAAATATTTACGTAGGAGAGTGGAAGATTTTACAAAAATAATAGTACACCTCGAATGAGGTTTAACATTAGGTCCGACTTTGAGGGTCAAATCCACAGAGTTAACAGCTGAAAAAATTTTGTAACGAATTTAATGCCAATTCGACTAAAAATGAGGGATGACAATCTGTTACCAGCATTGTAGGAAACAAGGCGGGATATTGTCTTCATACTTGTTCTATGCGAAACCAATTTCTACGATGGCTGGCTTGAGCCATCGGCTGGTTTCTTCGTAGAGGAAGAAAGGAATTTTAGGTTGACTTAGTTCTATTTTGTCCCTAGGCTCCTTTGTTCATTTCCGAAGAAGCCAACCAATGACTTAAGCCGGCTTAATAATCGCTTTATGTATTTCCACCTTAAGTCTTACATGACTAATCAGACTAATAATTAAGTTTTCGTTGTAGATTATATTCTTCCTTGACTTTTATACCCTCTAAAAGGCGTGAAAATAACAAAATATTTGGTCTGAAATAAATGCAAAATTCTTGCCAGGTGTACGTCCATATTTAAGGAAGAACTGCAAAATAAAAATTTGAAAAGGAAGGGACATAAAAGAAAGTCTTAAAGTCGGGGGGCCGACTTTATGATACCCTACACCACTTTGCTAATTTAGTAGAGCTCCACATAACAATTAAAAGTTTTTATGAGAGAATTCAATCATACAAGCTATGATTATAATTATAATTTAAAGATCAAAGGGCTAAATGCGCCGAAGCATTTGTATCTTTTAAATTCGGACATGTGTTGCCAATTTGGTGCACAAATAATAAATCAGATAAAAATATATATGGGAGCTATATCCAAATCTGAATCGATCTCGATATAATTTGGCAAAGATATTTCTGAGCTGTATTTGATATATTTCCCTTAATATCGTTGTTACGGAGTGCATATTACGGTTGTGGGTAACAAATATAACAAATCGGATGAATAATATATATGGAAGCTATAGCTATATCTGAACCGATCTTCACCAATTTGACACACTAGCTTCTAGACTTAATTCGGTCGAAAGTGCCAAATTCCATCCCATTTAGACAAGTATTAAACGTTTGGTGCACAATAAAAGGTAAATCGGACGAAGTTATGTATGGGAGCTATATCCAAATCTGAACCGATTTCGATAAAATTTGACAAAGATATTTCTGAGCTACATTTGATATATTTCCCCAAATATTGTTGTTGCAAATTGCATATTACGGCTGCGGAGGACAAAAATAACGAACCGATTTCGATCAAATTTGGCATACTTATTTTTAGGCCTAATTTGGGTGTATATGCAAAATTCCGTACTATTCGGGCTGATATTACACGTTTGGTGCACGATAAAAGGCAAATCGGATGAAAATATATATGGGAGCTATATCTAAATTTTGACCGATTATCTCCAATTTCAATAGGCTTCGTCCTTGGGCCAAGCAAATGATCTGTGCAAATTTTCATCTGGATCGGGCAATAAATGCGAAATCCATTTTCGTAAGCAGTGTTGGAAAATGTACATTTTTAGAAGATACTAGTGTGGGTACTAAATAAGCTACAAAGTTGTGGGACTTTAACGGCGGAACAAGCAAAACGTCCCTGTTCTCCTAGAGCCTTTACTAATTTCTCTTTTGGATTTGTAAGTTCTGAGCGTTGGGTTTGTGGGATTCCAATTGTCACATCCTGTTTCTAACGCGTTTCTATCAAGTTAAACAAAAAACAGTCATGCAATAAACGCTGTTATTATTAGCCGTTCCACCAACCACCCAACCAACATGAATTACACATCATCGATTTGTAAAGGTCAGGGCGCTTTGCGGCATGCCAGCCACCTCACAGAAACACGCACATTAGTCTCATCGGAGAATAACAAATTTCCCGCAATGAAAGAGGATGGTTGCAAAGTTGAGAGCAATTAAAAAAATTTACAGAAATATATTAATGGAAATGCAGTGAATCACAAATTTGCCTTGTACAAATTTTGCGTTTGGCTCGCGAGCTGTAGGCAGCTTACAACCACCTATCCATCTGTATTCGTATACCTAAATGTCTTGTATTTTTCTAATTCCTTTTCGGAAAGCATCGATTATAATTTTCCTACTATCTTTCTTTGTTTGCAGATTTAATAAAATATATTTACTGTGATTATGAGTTCCACAAAGTCCCAGGTAGCTGTGGCTACAAATATTCCAAATATGTCATCATCCAATCAGGCGCAACAACAAAAGGACTACAACAGCGAGGAGTCATTGGGTCGGCAGAATAGCTTTGGAATGAATCGAAGGGTAAGTACCTGTCAACCTATCTTGAGTCGGGTATATCATATTCTTACTAGGCTGCTGAGTAGAACCATTCCTCCTGTACTCCACTCGGTCCAAACTAGTCGCCTAAATGTTATGAGTCAGTTGTAAAAATTCCCAACAAAAGTATTTGCTGCATGTGCGCATGTTTCATTTCCACGCTGTTCAAAGGACTTCGCACAGACAAATGCAAACACGCACACTTGTACACTTGTACACATGCAAGCTCCTAAGCTGAATTATTCCGCTCGTGTGGCTGTCATTAACTCGTTCGATGTGCCAAGGTTAGAATTAGGGGGAATGTTCAACGGAATTGTTGAAAATGACAATGGATATGTATCCGTACGTCCCAGCGAACGTTGTGCCCACAAATGTGTGTTCAAAGAGGGGGAAATCCAGACATGAATCTCTGAAAGTTTACACAAATCGTGTGTTTTCTTGGAAATTGTCTTTCAGTCACAACGGCTTTCCTAGAAAAAATGGTAATGTTTATACTCAAACAATTACGCAATTTGTTGTATGGCGAGTTCAAGGCTTTACTGTTCCTTGTCCTTCAGTTGGACACATCTTTTGCATGTGCAATCAGAAATACTCTTACCTTTTTATTGTGATAACAGATGTGGTTGGTGACATTCGAACATATCGTCTGACTCTAAATGTCATTGTTTGACAATTCGGAGGTACTTATAGAATTAAAAATACATATAACAACAGAAATTTGCCATTATTGGGGATTTATAATATCTGATAATGCAGGCATGCCGTTCGATGGCCTAGATTTTCTCAATTAGACTGTGCGACAAAATACATAGAAGAGTCCCTGGAATCCGTCAATTTTAGGTTTATAGTGCCTTCGGCAATATTGCAGATAAAAATACGAGGATTATTTTGGTCCGAAGTATTATTGCAGATATAAGAACTAGGCGAGTCAACTAAGTAGAACCCTTTTTTCCGTAAAGAACAAAAAACATTCTCACTTTTATCTACAATATTACGGAAGACAGTATATACCTAACATCAACGGATTGAAAGGAATCTTTAACTTTAAAATTTCAAAAAATGTGGAAAAGGGCATGGTACAATGAAGAGAAGGTAGGTCAACTTTGAAAAAATTGCAAGTATAGAGGTCTACCTGTTTGGCTTGTAATGTCAAAATTAGTATCAAAACAATAAAACATCAAACAACTTGTTGCATTTATTTTGAATAAATAATTGAAAACCGCGATAACTGAATGAAAGGTCAACACTTCTTTTCAAAATCATGTATTATATATCTCTAAAGGATTATTTCGCTACAAAAACTCTAGATTTTGTCGATGCATACATTGAAATAAATATTTTGAAAACATCCGAATTTGAATATTTTCTGAACAATTTTTTTGTTATTGAAAAGAAAACACATACATAAACAAATGAAGATGACATATTAAGCCAAGAAAATAAAAAAATTAAAATCATATGGTATCATAGCCCTACCTTGATATCATTGTACCGTGGTAGGGGGAGCTTGCTTCACTCGTTTTCTAGAGAGAGAGAGAGAGAGTAAAATTTGCTTGAATTTCTACTAATCTACTCCTCCCGACTACTCTTCTAATTTTTGTCATATCGTTGGTTTATTTGTAAGTAAGTGTATTTCTCCAACCCACAGATGAAAAAGAAACAGGTTATGCAGCGTTGTCCCCAACCTGTACCAACAGGCTAGTGTTGTTGATCTTTTTTGGTTTTTACACAACCTCTACCTGTTCCCAACCTGTACCAACAAGCTAGTGTTGTTGATCTTTTTTGGTTTTTACACAAAATACCCCGGTTCTGGCACTCTCGCGAGTAAAAACGAGCAAATCTACACTCTAATCCAAAATATGTGATATTAAACACAACACAATTAGTATCATATAGATACTACAACACTGTGTGTTGAGTAAGTTTGATTGGGTCAAAAAGTTTGTAACACCTCGAAATATTGGCCGTAGACAATAGAATATGGATCTTTATATTTTGCGGAGATGGGTCGACCTCACTATATGTGTCCGTCCGTCTTTCTCTGTTAATTTGTAATCACTGAGAGAATATAACCCTATTAATTTTGAAGATGTTCGCAAATATATTTAGGATTGAAAGGAACCAATCGACGCCTAAATTTGCATTGCTTTAGAGCGTAGGATTGGGCTGAAGGCAATTTTGGATGGTCATGAGATAATATTTAGATGGTGAAATGGACGATAACTTTTATGTGAATACTTTAATTCTGAAAATCAATTCCCGTCGCAATCACAAACACCTAAAAGGAACTTCCGACCTTTTAATAGATTCTAATTTCGTTGACAAATATGGTCAGATATCGGAAATATAGCCAAATATTCAGAGGAATCTACACCTTATTCAGTTATAATTCGAATAATTTCAATTTTTTTTTTCGTAACATTTCAATTGTAATTCGAGAATTTCATTTATGGTTCGAATTATTTCAGTTGTAATTCGAGAATTCCAATTGTAATTCCAATTATTTCAGTTGTAATTCGAATTATTCCATTAGAAATTACAAATCGAATCATTCGAATTACAATTTGAAAATTTTGAATTATAACTGCAATAATTCAAATTACAATTGCAATTCTCGAATATCAACTACGAATTTTGAATTACAGAGGGCGTAAATGTAGGGCAAATGCCGCGAAATCGTGCTTGGTCTTGTGGATCCGGTCAAACTGCAGGATAACCCTTCTACATGACTATGCTAAGGAAAAAGAGTTTTGAATTGAAATTTGTGATCTTGACGCTGGATTCAACTTCGGTGGTGTATTCGTTAAATATTGATTCCAGATCATTGAGCTTTATTCGAAATGAGAACTTAATGATTACAACATCTGATATTATATTGGAAATGAATACACTACTTACGAATTAGGGAAAGAAACCTGATTTTTAAGTAGTTTATTAGTGGTCCTTGGAATAAAATGAACGGATTGCCCATCATAATTCGAGGGTATCACATTTATGGTGTTTTGTTCTGTTATTTTGGATTTTGTTCTCAAGTCTGATTCTTTGGGTACATAGCATAATTTTGAAATATGTTTGTTATTTTAAGGGTACCATGAAGGGGAAACACCTAACACGGAGTCATGCAATGCGAGAGGCTACATCACCACCGCGTACTCCCACTCCTAGAACATCTGAGTCGTCTTCGCAGCCACAATTGTCACCGAATGGATACCAGCAGCAACACCATCACATGGATGTTGGCGAATCTAACAACAACAATAGCAACAATAACAACAATAAATTGCATACACAATCATCATCAGCAACAAGAGGCAATTCCCCCATAGTGGACACACCATCTGTGATTGTAACTAGTCAACACAAGCAGCAACAGCTATCCCAACAGACACAGCAGCAGCAACAACAACACACTAATGTTTCACTGTGTAATGAGACAGAATTCCCAAAACTAAGTCCTCCTAAATCCAAAGGTGGTGGAGGTGCTGGCACTTCTGGAGGAGGAACGTCCAATTGTGGTCACAACAGTAACGGGCAACAACAACTGCCACCAAACCAACGTTCAAATAGTCTAAATAATAACAGCGAAGGCAATGCTGGCAATAGCAAAAAGTCAAACGGCGAAGTATCGGGATCGAACGATACGCACAACAAGTCAACCGTCACTTCAAATTCTGCCTCTTCAAGTAAGAGTTACAGTCAACCCCAGCAACAGTCATACAATGCCGGTAATGCCTTACAAAAGGCATTAAAGATAACAGATAGTTCTCAATCGCCACAACAGCACCACAGCTCCTCCCCACAATCCAACAGCGTCTATAATTCTCCAATGAACTATCAAATGCATCCTAGCGATGGAAGTCATAGTCAGCAGCAGCAACAGGCAACTTCGTACATTGTATACGACAAAGAGAACCGTTGTCCGCGCAACGATAGCCAAAATAGTGTAAACTCTAACGAAGACATTCATTATTTGGATACGCAGCAGTCTCAATCACAACAACAACAACACATCCAGCAACAGGCACAACACCATCAACAACGTTCCGGTGGAAATAAGAAGCACCGCACTAACTCGAATTCGAAAGGATCAAAACCACGATTGAAAAATATAAGCGGCGGGGGATCCAGTGGGGGCAACTCGAACACAAGTGGCAATTGTGGTCCTGGAGGTGGTGGTGCAAGTGTAGGCGGCAGTATGGATGGTAGCCTGAACAGCAGCAACAACACATCCGGATTTATTTCTAGAGGTGCGTATCAGTTGTACTTCCAATAATTTGTATCAATTTTTATTTCCTTAGTCTTCACAAATTCAGAAAATTCCAACGAACAGTACACAGATCACGGCGGCACCGATCTACTCAGTTTCTTTAAGGAGACGTTGAACAAGAATGTTAAGGATCGCCAATTCTTGTTGAAGGTAGAGAAGGACCTTATCGAGTTTGTGCAGGAGGGAAGGTGAGTAATATGCCCTGTACAATGTCACTTTGTACCTTTAAGCAATATATTTATCTTCCATGTACATAATTGCATAGTCGGGGCGAAATACGCTTTCCCCAGGCTTCGTCGTACAATCGAATGCTGATACATCGAACTGCAGCCTTTTTTGGCATGGAACATAATGTCGACACGGAAACGCAACAGTGTGTAATTGTGGCACCGACCAAAAATACTCGCATACCAGACGTAAGTTCATCCAGCAGTCACAAAGTGAATCCCATCTTATATGCCTTCTCTCTCTTTGTTTCTGACTACTACATATAGATACGTTTTAAAACGTTGGTCATCCATAACCGCGACGATTCGCGGAAGTCTATTTTAAAGCGGGACACACACAGTTTCGATGAGGCGCGCCAAAGTAGCTATTTATGTCCCGATCGTGGAATGTTGGATCGCAAGGCAAAGAGTTTCGAAGAACGGGAAGAAGACTATGATCGTGCTCGTTCGCGTATCTTCAATCGAAGTCAGAATGAGGCCTGCGGCGGCAGTACAGATGACGACAACAATTACATCAGCTGGACTAGTTCAGTTGAACAACAGCAATTTTCCCGAGGCCGCTCCAGTGGAAAAGTACTCAAAATACAAAATGTATGTGCAACTGGTGTTACAACGCATTTCATTTTTATATAACGCATGCAAAATGTTTCTATTTCAGTCGCCAGATGGTCGTGCTGGAAGTGTGGTGACAAAAGGAAGTAACTACAATAATTACGGTCCTTCACAGAGCAGCGCTCCTCCGTTGATGCGAGGCGATTCCGCGAATTCGAATAAAGGGAACAGTGGTGGCAATAATCGAATTTTCTCTAAACAAGAATCGGTTGGGAGTACGAATACATCATGGAGACTGTCTCCCTCTAGTAGTGGGTAAGTTTAAAGAGTGGCTTTCTCCGATTACAGATACAATGAATTTTTGTATGTTTTGCAAGCAAAATGTTAGTTAAATACTTTTGCGTGATGAAACAAAACATAAAAACAATGGATAAAAACTAATTTTACCACTCCGTTGTTTAGCTATAAAACACGCACTCAATCGGTTCAGTCCGATTCTGTCATACCATCGCCAACCGATATTTATGACGGTAGTGATGAACAGCATATGCCAGACCCCTCAATCATCGCTAACATTGAGAAGAACATTGATGCTGCAACATCGCTGCCCCCTTGCGGACTTGTTTGGGCCGTTACAGATATTTCGAATGTGCCAAAAGGCAGTGTTCTGATCAATCCACAAACCCTACAGCCAATCCTAAATTCAGACGGGTAATTTACAAAATTTTAATCCAATCAAGAAAACAATTACAATTTTAGCTCTACTTACTGTCACCACTAATTCTCGCATAACATTAAAACGAACATGTGTGTCTCTATTGGATTTAATATTCCTTAGCCACTTATATTATGGCAAGCACTTGATAATAACCAAACTATTTAAAACCGCGCCACACTAATGAAAGCATGTGTAACATATCGATTTTATTATTGCTGACAAGCAATTACAAAGGACCGACCACTAAGTCATATCTCAGAAATGAAGCCCAAAATTTAGTTATTTTAATCATTTTCTACCTGTTTTTATGTGAAGCCTCGTTATTATTGGGGAAACGTTGATCACAGCGGGTTAAACGAATTATATGACATTGTAAATATCTTGAAAAAAAATGCTTGGTCTCAACTTAAATGTTTACAAATATGTTACTTATACGTTAAATGAGTTTTATTTTGAAAGCAATATTTAATATTCTATGCCTTACAACTTCTGCAACATAACTAGAAATTTACTTTCTGCTGAAAAATTTGTATTACGATGTATTAGTAATTGTAGTGTAATTGTATTCCCAATGTACGTGTATAGATTTCTTTTCAGAAATCCTATGTAACATGTATGACAAGGGATGAGTCCTAGTAATATTTTATTGGTAAAAAAAAAGCAAATGTGCGAACTTAGGGAATCGCTGTAAGGAAACCAAAAGAGTACTGGAGAGCACTTAACTATAAAAAGGATTCAATAAATAAAGAAAATATTTCGTATAATCGAAAATTTTCAATATATAGAATAAATCTGCCTGCGGTCGGTTCGTCTTCGTCGGTTCAAATATGTTACTTATACGTTAAATGAGTTTTATTTTGAAAGCAATATTTAATATTCTATGCCTTACAACTTCTGCAACATAACTAGAAATTTACTTTCTGCTGAAAAATTTGTATTACGATGTATTAGTAATTGTAATGTAATTGTATTCCCAACGTACGTGTATAGATTTCTTTTCAGAAATCCTATGTAACATGTATGACAAGGGATGAGTCCTAGTAATATTTTATTGGTAAAAAAAGCAAATGTGCGAACTTAGGGAATCGTTGTAAGGAAACCAAAGGAGTACTGGAAAGCACTTAACTATAAAAAGGATTCAATAAATAAAGAAAATATTTCGTATAATCGAAAATTTTCAATTCTTCAATATAAAGAATAAATCTGCCTGCGGTCGGTTCGTCTTCAATAGTAACCTTAATAGTTCGATTTTCCATTTTTAATGACAGATAAAAACTCACTTTTTTATAATTTACGTCCGTAATTAGATATTTTGCGCTGACCAGATATTTTTAATATTCGTTTCAACGAAATATAATAAAACTGGTCAGATACCATATTTTGTAAATCTTCCTCGATGTTTATATCGTTCTCTATTAGATACATTATTTCATCCATAAATTTGAATCTTTGTACTCTTTCGACATATCAGGGATTGATTGTTCTTGCAAACAATCAATAAATTTATTTTCTGAACATGTTTTAAACCATATTATTAGCTCCAAAATTGTATTGCGTTAATTGGCTTCGAAGTCCAGACATGTAATTTAATGCTATTCACATTCAGGCAATTCTTTGAACATTCTCTCGCTGTGTATATTAAATAGAAAAATACATATTTGCGTTTATTGTATTTATTTATTCTTTTTGCTATCCTTTTGTTTATAATTCTTATAAATATTTTAGGAGAATAGCTCGTTATGCTGATAAGTCGGTATTTACTACGCACATTGTCATATTTTTTAGACATTGATATAAATAATAATTTAGTTCAGTCTTTTGGTTGGTGGCCAGGGTTGCTAAGTCGGAGCCGAGCAATTTCGATTTTGATTCCGAATTCTCTTTAAGAAAATCATTGACATTTTTACATGTTTTCTCTCCGAAAAATGAGTTGTGAGTCTTTTTATTATTACTTTATATAAAGATAATTTTGATTTGACTAAAGCTTTTGCTTACTTTGACTGAATCCTTTGCTTACTTTTTTACTTCGGAGGAAGCTTTACACGGGAGATATATCAAAATCTGACTGATTAAGACCAATTAATATACGGTAGGCCGGATTTTTAAACAACCGAGTACAAATATTTTTCGTTTTTTTTTTTTTTTTTTTTGGAGTCAATTTCTAAGTCGTGTTTGTAAACAATTTGTCTCGAGTAAGTGCTTAACCAGAAATGACTCGACTCCGCAGCCCCGGTTCGATCAAACGTGTGAGAAGATCTATTTTCATGTCATCCTCATCTTTTCAGCATTTCTGAAGGAATTTCAGCTGGTCTACTCGCTTCTCTTGTTAAGGGATGTTGTGTGTTGTGATGTGTGTGTAATGCGACACATAGTCGTTGGATATACTTCTTCCAAAATACTTTCTTTTTTGAACTCCCCAAACTTATATTACAGCTCTACTTTGAATTTAAATTCCCAAAGCAGTTTGCAAATTAATGGTTATTTTCAACATTCTGTCTATGGACATTGTTCAACGGTGAGAAAAAGATTCAACGCAGTGTACACAAATATTAAACTTCCCCAACTTCAATTCTTCAGGTGGCTGACGTTGCGCCTGTATAGCTCGCCATCTTTACGAATCGTGACATCATTTCCTTTCAGCTCAACAACTTCACATGGTTCTTTCCCAAATGTCGGTGTCAATTTATTTGGGAAAATCACATTTTGCACCAATACATTGTCATCTACTTGAATATTATTTTGCTTTGCACTGCGAACCTTGTCCGCATTCTTTCTTCCTTGTTCTTTATTGGTCGCGTCTAAGTCTTTGGCTTCCGCATCCGCATCCGAAATGTTTTCACCGACATCAAATATAGATGGTATTTTGTCCCGAATTACTTGATTGAAAAGCAGTTCCGTAGGAGCTTTCCCAGTTGTTCCATGAGGGGTGACATTGTACATAAACAGGAACTTTTGAATTTCCTTCTTATAGTCTGCTCCATTACAATGAGCTATTCGCAGACGTTTGACAGTCGAACGATTCATATTCTTTACTTCTCCATTCGCTTGCGGCCAATAGGTTGGAGACGTCATGGTTTCGATATTTTTGTTAGCGCAATAGGGTAGATGTGGTTTTGCTTTTCGTAAGTTAAAACTATTGTTTCATAGGTTAATGCGATATATTTTTGTGCCAAACATCGTGATCATGTACCTCCTTCTGTGAAGGAGTTTCTTGGTTGTTTTGTGAATTTAAGGTCAGTGTTGTTCTTCTAGAAACATTTTATTTTATTTTATATTGCAGACACCTGCTACTCTTTTGGATCTTTTTAAGTTTTCTCGATCTGTAAGAACCCGAAAATGGTTGTACCACGTTTGAATCCTTCTATCCTTCTATGTAAGAATTGCTCGCATTTTAAACAATCTGCCTAATCCTAAGACATATAATTCTTCCCCAGAATGTTATAAGCGTAAATAAAAGGCTCATTTCAATATTGTTTCAAAATTTTCATAGTTTTCTTGTGGTCATTTGTTTTTGTGTTTCCCTTGCATAGCTGATTCTTCTAATGATTCAATCAATTGTAAATTTTGCTCTTCTTTTTTTCTTGTTTTGTTAGTTTGTTTTTATATTTAGTTTTAAATAAGATTTTTAAGATTAAGGATATTGTAAATAGTTAAGAGTAGCCGTTTATAGAAGTTTTTGGAACCGTCAATCAATTGTTAATTTTTTTGTGTTAATTTGTTTAATTTTAAATAAGACTTTTAAGATTAATGGTATTATAATTAATTTAGAGTAGTCATGTATAGAAGTTTTTGGAACCGTCCATGTCCCTATGGGCTAGGTTACTGTATAAATTGAAAATAAATAAAATAAAAAATAAACTCGTCACTGACGACCATTATCTGTGGCAACAGACTTTGGGTAGCTCAGTCGAGAGAACAATTCATCCATGACTATCTCGTTCGATGTAGTTTTCTTTAGAAATATCAATGACCACAAATATGAAATCATTGTTTGGTAATTGTCCTAAAAGATCCATTGCTCGGCATAACCAGGACCATTTTGGTAAAACACGACGAGTCATCGTTGCTGGGTGGGGCGGTCTTGACTATTAGTGGCCACCATATTTTTGATCGCACCCGTCGCTTCATCACCGTTTCGCCTGGATGACCTTAATGCGCCAACGCTAGAACTCTCGTTCTTAACCGGCCAGAAATTACGATTTTGGTAGCTCGTAGGAGAATATTGCCCTACGTATATAACTCTAGTCGAAATGGAAAATATAGGTTGGATGTAACCAAAGTCCATGAATTATTTTTGATGCTTTCGACCGCTTCCCTTAGCTAAAGATCGAATTGGTTCTTTTCCACGATTTCAAGAATTGATACTGCTAGTGGGACGGCTTCTTCAATTATTGAGCTTATACTGATTTCAGTTTGTTGATCAAAAGACGTATTATGTTCAATTTTGCATAATCTGGATAATGAGTCGGCGATGTTATGTTTACCAGCCTGATAAATGATTTTAAATCTCAATGACTGGAGGCGTAACAACCTTCGCTCTATCCGAGCGGGTGGATTGATGTAGGTTTGAAAATTGTTTCCAGAGGCTTGTGGTCTGTTTCCAATTCAAACTTGATGCCCGCCAGATTATAGTAAAGCCGTTCAACGCCCCAAACCAAAGCCAAACTTTCCTTTTCTGTCTCAGATAAACTTTTGCTCGCAAATAATATGACCTGTGGCATGCTGTCGTAAAATTGCAACAAAACCGCTCCGAGGGCCACTGAACTTGCGTCAGCTATTAAGCGAGTGCGCCTTTTTGGGTCAAATTTGATAATGTTGGAGTCCTGGCCAGTTGTTGTTTAAGTTTTAGAAAGGCCGATGACTCCAGTCGAACTTAATATATATTTTTTTTATTAAATCCCTGAGCGTGTCCGTAAGATCAGCCAAATCTGGTTAGAATTTCCCTATATAGGTGACTAAACCCAGGAAACTGCTTAATTCCCTCTTATTGGTTGTCAGTCAAAATATGGTCTAAGAATAGCAGCCTTCTTGCTATCCAAATACATTTATCCCTGTTCAGCATGACATTCGCATTCTCCAAAACTGCCAACGCCTCTTTAAGATTTCCGTTGTGTTCAGCCTCTGTCTTCCCAAACACGATAATATCGTCCAAATAGTTTATGGCGCAGTTACACGCCGCCAAAATGCTTTCCATTATTCTTTGGAAATTTTCTGGCGCCGAAACAATAATTGTTTATATCTGAATAGACCTTTGCAGTTATAAAGGTGGTTATCTCGCGACTTGCTTTTTCTAACTCCAACTGGTGGTACGCATTTTTGAGATCCATCATAGAAAAATATTTAGCACTCTTTTGCTGGGTCATGAAGGAATCGAATGTTGGTAGCGGTTAATTTTTCCGTAATATGGCCATATTCTAAATAAATTACTATTGGAGATGTCCATGGGCTGGGCCCTCTTGTTGCGAAGCTTCATTCAATTTTCCTTCTACCTTCTCTTCTAAGCCAGATGGTACTCTCCGCAATGGCTGTTGGACAGGTTTAACAGACATGGCAATTGTCAGCAAAACTTTAATACCACTTATTTTTGGAAAGACATGGCAGTTCTCGATTTGATTTACCCCACGTCTTAGTTACAAAACGCCCAATTCGATAGTAGTAACTCGACCCAGCAGTGATTGACGGCCGTTCTTAATTACATAAAACGAGGAGATCAAGTTTGAAACTAGATCAATGACAATTACCGCTTCGAACCCAGCTTTCACATTGAGTAAATTATTTCCAGCATACGCACAGATCCAACTTCTTTCACACCGTCGCTTGAGACAAATTGAATGTTTGAATAATTCCGCCTTTTCGCATCTGTGTAACCAAAACCCGGCTGCTTGCGTTTCAAACCTTTCGACTTGTATTTGCAAGCAAAATTTCCAATAAACCCGCATGTTCTGTTGCATTTTGAATTTTTAGCAGCCACATTCAATCTGTTGATTCTTTGATTCGATCTTGTTAATATCGACAGATACATTGGGCAATTTCATTGTTCCTGTCTGGTTGTTTATCTGTTCATGGGTTCATGGACACATTTCGATGGTTCCTGTGAGCGTATATTTTCTTTCTAGAAGTCGTTTCTTCAAATCTTTTGGGGCCCAATTATCAACGAACTTGTCTTATATATTTTTACCTAATATCTCATCATTTTTCTCGTCGAAATGACATTTTGAATTTTGAGCACATCAGCATCAGTTGTATCGTCAGACGCAGCAAGTGCTCCGGAATTGATGTATACAACCTCTTGGAGTTGTGTGCCACCCAAATACAGTAGTTTATTCCTCTTCTTCGCGGTGTCCTTTATTTCCTCTGCATCTAGATATATGGATAATGAACGATACCATTTTCCCACTCTGTGCGCAGAAATGCCTTATCTATGGCATCACAAAGGAAAAGAGATGAGCTCGGTCCCACAACCTCGGAATCACAATCCGACGACAATTTAATGTCCCTAGTTCTCCTTATCTTCAATTAAATACAAAACAATCAAATGTCTTTCCGTATGCTACAATTATCTTTTCCCACAGATGACTATTATCAGTCAATGCCGACAATTTAATGTCTTTTCGCTGCAATTTAATGCAAGGGAATTTGAATTTTCCTTACAATTTGATGCAATTAATCTTGCAATTCTCCAGCTAAGCTAAATATTTACCTCAGTCGCCAATGCAATGACCCGCGGTTCAAAAACACACTCAGATCTTTAAGTTTCATCGTTTTTCAATTCAACATCATACAATTCTTTGCATGCCTACTTAGCTTTTCAATGACAATTTTTATACCCTAGAAACCATGGTAGAAATTCTACCATGATAGAAACTTAAATGTTCAATATCAGCGTTGCCAGATCTACACAACCGGAATGGGCTTTAGCTGTATTAACGCCAGCATCGCATTCAGTATCTTCTCGTTTACTGCACCTTTACACGAACAATTTCTCTTTTAATCCAATGAAACTAATCTGTTTTATTATAAAGTGAACAATATTTGAGACCGAAACTGGTTCTATAACACATTGCTGAAGTTATTAAATTTTTATATCTTTGACATTTGATTATATATTATATATTGAAGCATAATTTTTAAAAATATAATACAAGTATTGTTTTTTATACCCTACAACATTATGCGTTGGGAGTATTATAAGTTTGATTGGGCCAGAATTTATGTAACACCTCGAAATATTGGTTTCCCACATAGGAAAGTATATATGGATCTTCCTATCTCGCCGACCTGAGTCGATCTAGCTATGTATGTCCGTCCGTCCGTCTGTCCTAGTTAATTTGTAATCACTCTACAGGTCGCAATTATGGCCCGATCTTCACGAAATTTAGAATGTAGTTGGGGCTAGGGCCAGAATTGCTTTTAGAGATGATCGCATAATATGTAGGGGGTTGAAATGGTCCAAAAATTGAAAAATTTCCTGATTTTGCATTTGCTATACAGGTCGCAATTGTAGACCTATTGACGCGGAAGTTAGTATGGGGCTAGAGCTTAGGGCTGGGTAGAAGCCTTCCAATTTGGATGATCATCGGGTAATATTTAGTGGGTGAAATAGACCATAACATTTGTGTTAAATAAAAGTCAAATTTTCCATTTTTAATCCCGGCGAAATCACATATAGACGAACAGGTCAATTCTGACCGTTGCGTAAATGCCGATAGTAAATATATCGTATATATGTATATATACAAAGGAAAGGGACGTTAGCTATAATGCTTATATCTCAAGTATGGCTGGACCGATTTTGCAATATGCAATCTAAAAGAATTGCATAAAAAGATGCCAGTAACGATGTTAGTATAGATATTGTAGTATTTTGTGACATTTTTTGTATTTTTTCATATTTTTTATGGCATGCGATATTTTCATTTTGGCTTATAATATTGAAGTGTACATTTTCTAATTTTTTTACCTTACAACACAGGGTCAGGTTATTATATACATTGGGATTGGTATTATCGTCCGATCCTCACGAAAATTTTCACAAGGGCATCGTTAGGCTCAGAAGGGCTAGGCCTATTGTTTTCAAAGATGTCCGCAATATATTTAGGGGTTGAAATGGACCAACAACTGAAAATGTTCCTAATTTTGCAGCCGTTATAAAGGTCACAAATAGAAACCAAAGACACGAAATAGAGGTAGAATGGATTATATTTAGCTTTAAAATAGACCACAACAACTAACAGCACGACGGAGTGCGTAAATATTGGACAAATGTCCCTGGTCAAAAAACTAAGGGTAGTATCTGGGCAGTGATCTATGACATAATTTCAAAAGCGAAATCTTCCAAAATGGATTTGGACATAAAGGGGCTTCTAACATATTGTAGTGTTGTAGGGTATCATATGGTCGGCCCCGCACGACTGTAGCCTTTGCTTACTTGCTTTTTTTTATAAATCTGAGTCAAAACAAATTATTACAAAGGGTTGAATAGGCTCTAAAATATAATTAAAAATTAAAATAAATTCTCTATGACAGCTTTGTTTAGAGAAAATAAAGCAAAAAACGTTTACTTTCTAGTTATGTATTTTATTTAAATAATCGAATATATTGTAACATATGTACGTCCTGCACATGAAATCATAGACCAAATCAGACTGTATAAAAGATCAACTACACTTAACTATAGATCTGAATTGGTTCGTCATCGAATGATTTTGTAAGTTACCTGTTCTCACAGCACCTTCTGCTTCTTGTGCTCAATGCTTTTATATGTACGCCATTCTGTTATTTTAGTTGTTTTAAAATGTTCCCTGCATAAAAACATCTGCTTTAGCATTCTCATTACCAAACACTTAATAAATATAAGTATTTTCGATGCTGGTAAATCAGAAACGAGGCCCTCCAAAGTATTTCTTGTCGACCTAACTGAACAAAGATCATCATAGGTGAAAGCATTTACATTATTTGTCATTTTAGTGATCCGAGCATAATTTGCAACGTGTTTTCACTTGAAGTGGAGGGTTAAATTATCAATGAATTCTGGTTGATTGTATTGAAAGGAATACTTCCACTAGTTTGTGAAGTTCAAGCTCAAGCTCAAAATATAAAAAACACGCTTAAGCCTTTAAAACCAAGTAACACTGCAATTATTATTGCCTTTGGTTAATTAATATTTTTATTCTTTAAACATCATAATGTGACCACTATTCATACATATAAACTCATCTGTCGGCAATCATTTATTTGGAATGGATCGGTGACAAATTGTGCTATGATTTCATATTTGTTATTTATTTTTATTTGCAGTACGGTCTACCACTATGACCCGTCCAATCCTCCGCCAAATCAAGCAATTACAGCTGGTGGTAACAATGGTAGCGGTGGTTCCGGCTCCAGTATGTATCACTCGGTACAGAGTATCTCTTCTCCACAACAAGCACATGCAATGCAAAATACTGGAAAGAAGCAGAATAAAGGTCACCAAATGATGTCGCAACAGCAGCATCCGAAATGCCAACAGCAATTCCATCCCACTGATGCTACACCGCCACCTGTCGCTGTCGCTGAGGCTGTATCCGAGTCATCAACGCAAACGGTTAATGAGGGCGACGATTCAATTGGCAATAACTCGGGTGATATGAATTACCATGATGGTGGTGGTAAATAAGATGCTGCAGCTAGATTATTTAATTGTGTTGTCCATAACATGTCGCTCTTTCAGATGTTTCCAATAAAGATGATAACGACGAATGTGATAATTCGGCCAATGGCTGTCTCAGCATAACCACCACAACATCAACGAAGAATTACGACCGGATTGAAGTCCAGAAATTTAAGAACCAAGCAACAAGTCCTAATATACCCATAAGTGAGCAAGAAGACCTATCAAAGTTTGAGGTATTCGGAACAGCTAGTCTGTGTGTTTGTTTCGCATTTCAATAACTTGTTACCGTTTTGATCCCTAGAATTCCAGTCAAACCCCTACAAATATTGTGATATCATCACAGCAACCGCATATACACCATCAACAGCAGCAAATTCAGAATCGTGAAACACCCCATTCGGCCCGCTCTACGCCGTTTAGCAATAGTGATACACTGACCAAACGGTCTTCCGAGGAGCCTAGAACTAGCTGGACTCAAAGCTACCAAGCTCCCGATGGTTCCACAATATTTCACACAAATACTACGAATGGAAGTAATCCATATTGTACTACCACATATCAGCAAGCGGTATGCAAAACCTGAGACATGCTTCAATGTGTGATTACTAATAAAATGGTCCTTTATTCTTTTAGCCTGATGGAAGCATTTATGCTGTGCCGCAGGGAATGATTTACGCTTATCCACCGCCTGTGGTAAGTTTCAAGGGATTGTAAAATATAAGAATAGGTTACATCTTCGTATTTTAGGAAGGGGAATTCCAAGGGTATTTAATGCCTGTGTTTGACCCATCACAACAACGCGGGGAAACAACGGGCATTTTACCGCCCGGAACACAGACCATATATCCAACAGGTGGTACTACGACAATGGTACCAGTAGCTGCTTATCCAACTGCCCAGTTTACAACAACCAATGGTACTCCTATCTATCCTGGCCAAGTAATATACTCCGGTGAACAGTTTCAAACAGCAGGGACGCCACTGACTGCCGCCGCGCCAGCTGCATCAACAGGTCAACTGCAGCAAATACCAATGACAACGTATCCCATTGGATATCCTTACCCATACAATGGTAAGTATTAATATGACATTATTGGTGTCGTTAACGAATAGAACACAATTGATTCAATGCAGGATACTGGGGCCAAACCATGACATACTACGTACCTCAACAAGCTGTACCCGCCACCTCACTGTTAACTGCACAGGCTCCACCACAAGCGGGGCCTGCTAGTTCTGCCCACGTCGCTGGCGGCGTGAATGCACCAGGTCCTAATGGTATTAATACGACGGCTGGACCGTCAATCAATTCCGCAAACATAAACAATACACAAGGTGCTAATGGCGGATGCTCTCAGAATACTCCCCATCAAAATGGGCCAGCACCGAATTGTTATCAACAACATGTTAATACAGGTGCTGCACTGGTTAGTGGAGGAAACAATCACAGCAGCGGCACAACGTACTATGGAACAGGACGGATTAAGCGACCTAATCCCTCACATTTCTCGAGCAATGGCGGAAATGGTGGTCCACAGGTGCTGACAGCTACCGCATTGTCGAACGGCGTCAGTGCGACTACATATCAATTGGGTCCAGTGCCTACACTGACATTGGCAGCAACAGCACCGGCTGCAGCGGCGACCGGAGCCCCAGCTGCAACAGATCTCAGCACCGGTGGGGCGGCATCCGCTACAGCTACAATGTATGCCCTTCCACAGCATGCAACCATTTTTCCAGCCAATATGTTTCCGTATACAACAAACGCGACCCCAACTCTAGGCCCCCAGTCTGCCGCGGGAATGGCTCAGCAAGCTGCGATCATATCTCAGCATAGCAATCCACAAATACAAGCACACGCCGCAGGCGCATCAGCGGGAGCTTTACATAATCCTCCTCACGCTAATACTGTGATTACGCCATTTTATACAACAACTCACCATTCGAATCCACATGCGGGTATACCGGCTGGAACTCATACAATACACGGTCCTGGTCCGGCAGCAATACCAATTGTAGATCCGGCATCACTGATCAACGCAGCTCAAAATGGGAGTGGTAATCCCACCTATATGACTAGGGTTGGGAGCGCAGGAATGGCCGTAGGCACGAGCAACACTAGTACCTCGCAATCGGCTCCCAGCACTCCGCACTCAATGCCCTCGAATCAGCATCACTCTCAGCGGAACCCTCCTGTGTTTTCGACTCCCCCCATTATGAACAACAATACAGGTCATTACAGCAGCACTAGTTCGACTCCCCATTTCTACGTAGATCAAAATCATCAGTCCGGTAGTGGAAATAATACCAATAGTCCCCATAACACGTATTCCTCAAATGCATACGAAAAGAGGAACAACGGAAATAGCGGAGGAAGTGGAAAGAAAAATCTTCCGTATCAAAGTGCCAGTTTAAGTCGGCAAAATTCATCCAACACAGGTGGATATAGTAGCAATGGGGGAGGTGGAAGTAAGCCGCCATCTTTATTGGGCAACAGCAATAACAACGACACTCGAGCATCCCCTAGTAGCAGTAGCACAAATTCTAGAACACATTCGATGAAAAGATCGGGGGGTAATAATGTTAATGAGAAACCGCAAACTCCTTTACTGAGTGGCCCTCCCAGTTATGCTGGTGGCGGAAACGTGAATAATAACAGTTTTGCGACTGCTGCCACCGTTGAAATAGCTTCTAGCGCAGTACCAATAACAAACGTTGCGAAGCCTCCAATGCGACTGAATGCCTCGGCAGCGGCATTCCGCCATAAGGGCACAGTACCGAACAATTCTGGTGGTGGAAATGTTGTGGAATCTCGGCGGAACCCTGCATCGCAAAGGAATTCGCCAAGCACAAACGCGAGTAGTAGCAATGACAATAGCAACAACAATTCGCCTAACAGTATAAACAATTCTTCCAACGTTACAACTCCGATTGCTGCCAGCTGCTACGCCGCTCCTTCGTATATGATAAATGCTCAGAACAATGGTGGTGAAGTTGCTCTTCCTCACCATCCGCCGCCACCTTCGCTGTACATTACAACAGCAACGGCGCGAGGACCTGCACACATTCCACCACATTTACAAACAGCAGCAGCCACAGCTGGTGGCGCAGCAGCTTCTGCAGCCGCTGCAATGCCCCAACAGACAACCACAGCTGTTCTAGGAGGTGCAGCAGCCGCTGCAGCTGCAGCCGACGTGGCGAATGCCGCTGCAGTGGCTGCAGCTGCTGCGACAGTTGCTCATCACCATCATCCTCAGCCACTGTTGGGGACATACAATCCGGGAGCATCCGGATTGTACTTTAAATATGGTCATACATATTTCGCCCACGTAAGTAGAAGTAGTTTGCAAAATCGTCCTCAATTAAAGTTTATTTTTCCTGAAAACCCGTTTTAGTTGAACCAGGGGCAGAATTTTTGTTATATCAAAAAGAGAAATGAATTTTTTTCAATGGAAATAACATTTTGTAACGAATATTATTTTTCATTTGATATATTCATAGACTTATTATAAGAAAACTGTTTTATGTGTTTCACTATTAAAAACATTAAATTGATGTTGACTTTTCTTAAAAAGTTTACATAGCAGATGGAGCTGATTAGAATTGCGAAAAGTTTTAAATCACACACGATCCTACCGTTGGTACAACCTAGAGGGTTGTCAATTTGTATGTTTCGGACACAAACGATGCAACTTTGTATACAACCCCTTTGTACAACTTCACTTTTGGAAGAGTTCATTTGAGTTAAGATGACACTGGAAATAATTTCGTGCTCTATAATAGCCTTAGTCTTTATTTACTATTATTTTTTGAAATTCCAGTTCATATATTTTTTTTATTTTTTTACATTTTATTTGAAATGACACATTTGATTGGATTTCGTGTTGTTTTGATGTGCAAAACAATGATGTTGCCTCTTTGAAAATAAATACAAATTAAAATTGTATGCGACATGCCCACAAACATTACAATTGATTGGTACAACATGCCAAATATCAAAAAAAATTGATTTTTTGTACAACCGAGACACAACTTCGCACAACCGGGCCACAAACGATACAATCTTGAATAGAACCTCTCCAAGTTGTACAACCAGTTTTTTTCGTGTATGGCTTGCATTATAACATGCTCAATTTTGTTATTGAATATTTATTAAAATGCTAACAACTTTGTATAGATAAAGTATTTATGCATAGTTTCTGCCTCCCCTTCTAACAGTGTTTTATCTTCCCATACATTATCAGGATTATTATACGGAGGCATAAAAATATAGTATGGGACTCCACAGAGTCAAAATGTTGACACCAGATGCATTCCGACGGCAACCCGTTCTACGCTCCGTAACGAATCGATTTAACATCAAATATTGAAGATTTTTCTTCCGACACAAATGTGGAGACTATATGTTGCCATAAACATTAAATATTTTTCTGAGCTTGAAATAATCCTTATATCGTCTGCGCAAGCCATCTTTATTCGTACAGGCAGAATCTATATACTGAAGTCACTATACGCATCATTTAAAGCACTGGCATACAAACCTTGTAGACCTTTAAGCAGCAATAGGTCGGTCTGAGTTAAGTGTGATGGTGGTAAGTGTCCTACGCAAAGAACATATCCCGCCACTTTGACCCCAGTGGACCACCTTACGCTCAAGGAATTTTGTCGATGCTGTAACTGCTTGGGTGCTATCTGCAGGAGCTCTTTTTATACAATCTTATAGTCAGGTTTTCTGTGTAAGGGAATTTAAGCATACAGAGAAAATGAGGTACCTTACCCTCGATCGCAACGGAATAACTTCCGCCAAGGGAAACGCCATTTAAGATCAGAATTGTACATCCGCCAAAATTCGTATTGTGATCGAATTTATAGGCAGAATTTGACTGACCAACTTTAGAATAGTAATTGAAAATTAAAAGCCAATGTGAAGTCTTAGGTGTAATTATATGAGAGTACTTTTATTTTAAAATATTTTTTATCCTTTCGATGTGAATCTCATAGGATGTGCGGGACCAAGTTCAATTCAATATATACATTCTTGAAATAGTAGTGTATTTGCAGTATTAGTTTTAAACAAAGCCCAAACAAAGCTAGATTCTTAAATTTTCGTATAAAGGGTCCCAAGTGTCACCTAAATATGTAACTGAGTTGAAAGACGTACCATAATTTTATCCAAAATTCTTACAGAATAAAATAATAAGATTGACGGAATCAATGAGTGAATGTGAAATGTAGTTTAAGTTATTGTCACTGTTCAGGCGCCGAAATAGCGCTCCGATGAAAAGTGGGAGAAATGAATAGAAATAAAACTCAAACGTTTTAGTTCCTTAGGCAAATAAAATAATGTTTTCTTGATTGCTATTAAATATCAAAACGTTACGAGATTTAATAGTGCAACAAACTGCATCATAATTCCATTCCAAAAAAATGTAGAGAATTCATACTTAAACTGTTACACATCCAACGAAATCGGGTGTGAAAGAGAGTCTCATACTGATCTTCTAAAAGTTCCATCGACTTCAATTTATCCGTTAAGCATTGTTGGGTTCCTGGCCATCGAAACATATTTGGCAATGAAACGGCGAATGAATTGGCAGAAAACATGGATGTGGATCACTGGAAGAAGCCAACTCTTTGTCAATTCTTCCGATTGATAGAAAAACTCTACTCAGGGAAGATTCAACTAAACTGGTTAAATTAATATTTCGAACAACATTTTGTGCAAAACTTTTCTGGAAGAGAACAAAGTCGCTAATCTCCATGGCGAAACCTGAACTAAAAATTGCGGTGGGAGTCAAGTAGGCGGCGACGACACCGACACATGGCATCATTAGTAAACCAAGACGTGGCATCATTAGGAAGTAGGACATTAACGATGTCCGAAATCGGCATTGAGTGTTAAAAAATCTAGCGGATTTATATGGTGTTAGATTCAGGGATCACTAATTGAGTACTTGTTAATTCCAAACTCTTGTAAGCACAAATTGTTTTTGCTACCATCTGCGGATAACAGCCCACTCGTTATTATATAATTACAAACCTTAACTCTATATCCTGATATCTAAATATCAGGTTTAAAATAAAGAACTTATTGAAATTAGCCTTAACCGTACAGTGCAACTGCTATTAAATATTGACAGACAAAGCTAAAATAGCTGATCTATTTAGTTCAGCACATAGCTATTTAGCTCGTTTTTGATAAGCTAACCAACAATAAAGCTAAAAATGCAGCACAAAAAATAAGAAATAGCTTTGATTTCGGCTGATGCTATTTTCGTCTTTGTCGAAAGAATATTTTTGTGGTTTTGTGTTGCCAACGTACAAATTAATATAATACGTACATATGTTTTCGCGCTCGTCAGCTAATCTAAGTTTATTTTAAAACTGTAACTTACCAATATTTTTTTCTAAATTTATTGAATAATATCTCATAAAAATAAAATAAATTGAAATTGATAGGCTTCAATAACATTTGCACATTGTCTATATATGAAACTATCAAATGTATAAAAACGCGATTTTTATTGCATTTCTTACAATAAGGAATTTTTTAAGTAACACAGAACTCAAAAATAAATTTTGTTTCTGTTGGCTAAGCAGTAGCTGCCTTGCTGCTATTTTGGTGCTGCGCTATTTTGATGTTAGCGCTGATTTTTGTAATCCTTCTTCTGGGTACTTTGAGTTGTTAGATCTCGTTCTTTAATGATTTATAAGAATGTTCGTATATTTCACTACGCCCTCCTCCTTGTTTCTTGTACATCTATATCCTTGTTACCGCTCCATTTATGCTTTAACGTTTCATCAATATTTGTACTTTTTCAATTCCAGCCTTCCGTAGCTTTACCAAATAGTCGTCGCTCGCCGTCGACAGATTTAAGACCTCCCATTGCGCAAGTGACGGGTATGTACCCAGCAATGAATATGATGATACCAGGTATAGTATAATTTGTGTTAAACACCAAAATAAACTCAAAAAATTTGTTCATTATTTTGCAGCCCAACCTCGACATCCTGGTCGTCATCCCAACCCCAACTATAAGGGAACACGACCTCGTTGATATCCCCGGTTGTATTGATGGCATGGTCACAACAATAACGTAAACACAATGATGCTATACCAAAAACCTTAAATTAGAATAAGTTATAACGACAACAAAACAAAAAAGTAACTAATCTAATAAAAATCATTAGGCTTAGTTGTAAAATAGATATAAACTGACGGAACATTAAAAATGAAGGAAGTCACAAACGGAAACAGAAGATGTTGTGTGCCACTACTGTGTGTCGTCGTAGTAGCAGGATCGGAAACAATATATTTTATATTTTCGGACTGGCCTAGATTTGGACTACAATAGAAAACTGAAAATCATAACAAAACCGAAATTTATTATAAAATCATACAAAAACATTGGCTTTAATAGGTAAAGAGTAGCATCCAGAAAAATATACTGCAATCATTTAATCCAACTGTCATCTATACGTTCCCACACGCATAGCTACAAATATCTGTGCTGCATACAAAAACAAAAAAAAAAAAAAAACAGAAATTTTCGCAAGTCTGTCATTTATAATTATACACGAAACGACCATCTAGACAGAATTCATTAGAGATCAAAGTGACTCGAGTTTTCTTGAGCTAATACCGTCATAGTGCAGCAACAACTTCCATTCGTGTAATAAGGGAAACGTGTCTGTGCAACAATTTCTGTGCCATCAACATAAATAGAACATAACGATAGCAAACAAAAAATACTTAATTTTTAAGAACAGATTCTGAAAAAACAACACGTTTACACATTTACTCCCAATGATACGCCTTCACAGACACACGAACTCACACAAACGAACACACACATACACACCAAAACAACATACATACAGATACACTAGAAATATACCAGTGACATAATTAAGTCATTTTAATTGAGTATATAAGAATAAACTTAATTATAATAACTATAAATATACTATATAAAAATAACTATTTATGATACACAAGATAAATGCTATATACGAATACATGTATATAATATGTATGTATGTATTTCCGTCTTAACATATACATAGATACATATTAAAAATGTATTGAAAACTCCATGGAAATATATGCTGTGACATGTATTAATTGATTTATATACCCTTGAAAAGATAAAACTTTACATAGGTATAACTCATTAACACATGTGACACTATATATGCACATATATATAAAGATAAATATATATATATATTGAAGAAATGAAAATCATACAAATAATTTTATAGTATTTAAAATGAAATTTATTATATATACATATAATATATATATATTAAATAAATAATATTATTTATAGTTACCTAAGGTAGCATAATGAAATTATTCAAATATATATACATAAATATATATTTAAAAAATATATAACATATAAAAATAAAAACAAATAAAAGACTCCATTGCGAATTATTCCATGGACTTGCAGTTAAATGGCGACGCAACTTGATTGCGTTCAGCTCGTGCCCTTTCTAAGTGAGTAGAACGAACGTGATTTTTACCATGTGTCATTGTCGCATATGTCACATTCAATACATTTTCCAAACTTCATCTTTCATTGCCATGGTTGTGCTGCGAGCATTAAATGTAGTAACTGACGTGTAAATAAAATATACATTGTACTGTTAGCCCTAGCATTTACTACTATTATTATTTACCGAAAATATGTATTCTTTAACACGTTTCATTTGTTCACCCTGTACACACATTTGTTATTGTTTAATTATGATTTTCATAAATTTTTGTTTATAAAAATTTCATTGAAAGTTGATTTCATTGTATCATATGCAAGAATTGTTATATTTTCGAAACCAAAACATTAATAAATTCCTGCAAAATTGAAGTAATTTTTAAATATGCATTGCATTGGTCATTTGTCGTAAGGTTACACACAAGCCCATAATGAATAGGGTATAATGGAAAACAACAAGAAAAATAGGAGGAAATAAAGCAAATCTCCCTTTGAAGTAGCACCGCAAACACCTGATCTGGTCCCTTGCCTTAATTGGTGAAAAAGTCCTGATTATGTTATGAACCATCAAGTTTGTTATGTGAGTCTATTCGTATGTCACAATTTCTTCTTTCGATGATTTGTTATATGTCGGAACACTGGATGAGAAACTTTAGGCCTAGTCATACCTGCTTGTCGAATAGCCGAAATAAGACCAAATTGCCCGTCCGTCGTTCAAAGTCGTCTGATCTGTCTGACTGTAGATGAAGTTTAAATCGCTCTCGAACTCTGGGAAAAATAATGATAGAACGTCAATCACTTTTAATGACGTAACAGTGACTGATCTGAAGAAATGCGCCAGATATTTTAACCGCCTATTTGTCGTCACTCCGGGCGTTGTATTAGATAGGGCGTTGTATTAGATCTTTTCGCGCCAAGGAGGTACCAAACATAGATGACATATTTTCCGATGAATCATACATACGTCGAAACAGTCGTAAGCCTAGACAAATAATAAGAGTTTTTGACAGAATCGTGGTGATTGAATACAAAGGCATATAATAAGATGGGACATTTCATTGTTGCATTGATTCAATAGATGGCGTTGGTTGTGGAGAAATATATTATGACACCGTATCGTAACATTGCATTATGTTATAATGTAACATAGCAGACACTTTAGTAGGATTTTAGCAGATTTTTATATTAACGACATTTTTTCACGACATCTGAATAACATAATTCTGTAAATTTTCTAATGCATTTTTGCCATGTCGTCTACCATCTATTGCCTGATCGAGACAGTAAAAGGCAATATGCATTTTGTTTACAGTTTTATGTTTTGGGAATAAAACGCCAGCCTCAGGTCTTAAGATCTCTGATACTTTTTCAACGTTTTATATACGTATATGATGTTTACAACTTTTCGACAGTCGAAAACTTAAGAAACTGTCGAACAGACCATCTCCGGTACAAACATAGTTTACGATGGGCGATATTGCAAGTGTCATCAGGAGAGCTAAGTAATCCAAAGCGTCCAAAGCCAACCATCAACGCACACTACATCCACAACATAGTACCACGACATATGGCGTGCTATATCCATACATATTAGTTAAGGACTAAGCCAGATCAAACTGTGTCCTAGAACAATGTTAGTAGCCCTTATAAATGGCATTTTATACAGTCAACCACCCACACTGTTTGAGGATGAATAGAGAACTACACTCCGGTGAAGTTTGAAACTTCGGAATATTCAAACTAGTACCAGGACAAGAAGTCCAAACATGGAGTTCTCCAAAGTACGGTCGTATCTCGCTCTCAAGACGACGGATGATGGGACTATCAAGGAGTGGGGTCAATGAACATGTACAACCTTCTACGACATATCCATTTCGATGCATTTTTCCACGGAATTTTTGTAATTTTGGTATTGCAAGTTCCAATGTATAATTCTCAAATACATAATCTCGCCACAGGTAGATAATGTTTAAAAATTGTCATTTTCCAAATTTGTTAATTTCCACCATTCTATGGAGAGGGGTTGGTATATTAAGCTTGCCTTTCCTTTCGTTTTAAGATCACGCAAAGTATATATATTCTTTATCAGCATAAGATTCTATGCCAATTTAGCTATGACCGACCGTCTGTCTGTCCGCCTCTGGATATCACCCTGGCTGGACAAAATTTCACCCAAATATATTTTAAAATGGGTCACATGGGTTCATGAGTTCTACCTCCGATGGCACAACATTGTGTATACAGGTCCACATTTTACTGTAGCCCCCATATGACCTTTGAATATTGTGTATTTTGATGGTTTAAGCCACATTTTGTAACGGATTTGTTTTAGGTTAGGTTAAAGGACGCGCAGTTATCATGTGGCAACTGTTCCACTTGGAGACCTATAGGTCCATTGTGTTCATCCTAGAAGAATAGAATGAACCGTCGCTATAAACAGCTATGCCGCGGAAAGTTGGGTTGTTATGGGCCCAGGCGTCTCTGTTAGGTATGTGTATGTCAGGTGGGTCGAAGCTCAACCGTGGTGAAATATAGAGTTGGCTACCACTCCCACATTCCTTACACGTCTTAGAATCGCAGAATATCCAAATGCTCTGAGTCGAAGAGCACTCCTGAATGCCTGTTCCTCTACATGTATACTCAGCGGACTTAAGCCCAGTAGAGTGTCCAGTGCTGCTTGAGGCGTGCTCCTGAAGGCATCCGTTATTAGTAGGGATGCGGCTCTTTGAACTTTGTTAATGTGTTGTAAGTAGGTTGACTTCTTCAAGGAATGCCACCATACTAGAGATCCATAGGATAGAATGGGGCGAACGATTGACTCATACATCCATTTAATGATGTGTGGTTTGAGGCCCCAGCTTTTACCTATGGAGTTCCTCTCTTAGCTCGTTGCTCTTCCAACTTAATTGGCGGTCGAGGATAGTGCCAAGGTATTTGGCTTCTGGTGAGAGGTTTAAAGTGAATTCATCTATAATCTCCATATCGGTGGTATAAATGAAGGATATTTACGTTTCTTAGTGAAAAGGACGAGCTCTGTCTTGATGGGTTCACGCCTAGTCCATTGCGAAGCGCCCATCGTGATAGGGTGACTAGAGCTCCCTTCATTAGGTCAGAGATTGTTTACAGGAATTTTCCGGCAATTAATAGGGCGACACATCAGCGTATGCGACTACTTTTTTCCCTGTATCTATGAGTATGTTATTAATAACCAAAAGCCAGAGTAATGGTGATAGGACGCCCTCTTGCGGCTTGCCCCTAGTGACCGATTTCCTGACGGATGTTTCTCCAATGCTCGGGTTGATGATTCTGCTGCTAAGCATGGTATCAACCCAGTCTATGAGGAGTTGGGGTACCTTAAGGGTGCAAATACATTAAGAGCTTGAAGTCATGGCTAGGCATATTAATGACAAACTATAATGGAAAACGACGGCAGGATTTTAGTGCGGCTCTGTAATTCCTTTGTGAAATGTCACAAAATAGGCCGTGCCATGACTTCAAGCTTCTTATGTACTTAGCCCTTAAGTTTTGATAGTAAAGCATGAATGGATTCTTACGTGACGTTGTTAAGGGTTCCCTCAATATCGAGGAAGGCAGCCAAGGTGAACAAGGAGCCATTCATGTTTTTCTCTATATAAACTACGACATCATGTTGCGCTGTTTTAACAGATTTACCTTTCATGTAGGCATGCTGAGCAGTACTGATGGCAGTCTTGGGTAGTAAGGATCTGATCTCTATGTCTATCAGCCTTTCCAATGTTTTCAATAGGAAGGAGAGTAGTCCTTAGGAAGTGAGTAACTAGGTTCCCCGCTTTGGGGATATAAGTGGCTGTGACTTCTTTCCATGATTCCGGGATGTTAGATAGACACAGACAGGCTTTAAAAATCTCCCCCAGTATTGGGGATATTGACGCTGAGACCCGCTGGATCATAGCGTGAATAATGCCGTCTGGTCCTGGGGATTTAAAAGGCTTGAATATGTTTATACCCACTAAATTTTGAATAAGCTTACAATTCTGTCAGCCAAGTTTTGGTCTCTAGCCGTATAGTGACGATGCACTTGATCGGTTTGCCGATTGCTTACCGTGTCAATACAGCCGGGGAAGTGGGTGTTGGCTAGCAGATTGAGAGTCTAAAGTCCAGAGTCAGTCCATGTGCCGTTAGTCCGTTTTATACTTCCTATGGATTTAGGATCCTTCGAAAGGACTTTACGAAATCTGGAGGCATCGCTGACACCTTCTATCGACTCGGTGAAGCATACCCAAGATGTGCGCTTGGCCTTCTTGATCTCACTGTTGTACTTGTTAAAGGATGTCTTATAGGCCTCCTAGTCCATACGTAGTTTGGTCTTGTTGGCCCTATTGTACAATCGTCTACTGTCCCTCCTTAACTTGGCTAAATGTTTTGACCACCAAACTGGTTGACATTTTCTGCCTGGGTAGGTTAGGGGACAGACTTTTTCATAGCAATCAAACAAGGCACTCGTTATCGCATTTACGGAGTTGTCTATATCGAGGGTTGAGGTTAAGACCATGGTACAAAGAAGAGAAGGTAGGCCAACTTTGAAAAAATTTCAAGTATAGAGGTCTACCTGTTTGGCTTGTAATGTCAGAATTAGTATCAAAACAATAAAAAAATCAAACAACTTGTTGCATTTATTTTGAATAAATAATTGAAAACCGCGATAACTGAATGAAAGGTCAAAACCTTCTTTTCAAAATCATGTACTATATATCTCTAAAGGATTATTTCGCTACAAAAACTCTAGATTTTGTCGATGCATACGTTGGAAATAAACATTTTGAAAACATCCGAATTTGAAAATTTTCTGAACAATTTTTTTGTTATTGAAAAGAAAACACATACATAAACAAATAAAGATGACATATTAAGCCAAGAAAATAAAAAAAATTAAAATCATATGGTATCATAGCCCTACCCATGGTACAATGATATCAAGGTAGGGCTATGATACCATATGATTTCAATTTTTTTATTTTCTTGGCTTAATATGTCATCTTTATTTGTACATGTATGTGTTTTCTTTTCAATAACAAAACAAATTGTTCAGAAAACATTCAAATTCGGATGTTTTCAAAATGTTTATTTCATCGTATGCATCGACAAAATCTAGAGTTTTTGTAGCGAAATAATCTTTTAGAGATATATAGAACCTGGTTTTAAAAAGAAGTGTTGACCTTTCATTCAGTTTTCGCGGTTTTTAATTATTTATTCAAAATACAT